CTAAATTTTTAATTGTCGTTCATTCCCATCCCACAGACTCCTACAATTCATTTCACCCGAACAATTCCATTTCAACCCTCTCATTTCCAATCTGACTGAATAACTCTACCCACTCGTGCAACAAAATTACAGCTTCTGCGACTCGATTGTAACAATTGCTCCCCGGTCCAATTAGAAAAAACTTCATTTTCCCCCGAGTGAATCTTCACCAAAGGAAGAGGTGTCCCTTCAATTTCACGCGTATCGATAAATCCAGCCACGCCGAACCCAACTTTCACCATTCCAATTTTCCTCGAGTTCCGCTAACTCGTCGTCCATTAGACCAGTTTCCTCTAGGATCCTACCCATTAGCATAGCACGCTTAACGAGGGAAACTAACCGCTCACCTCCACGATAGTGGTTTTTCGTCTCCTCTCGATCAGCTGCCTTGTCGACGACGACGGAACCTGTTGCTCTTATCTTCACGGAAGAGATACCGTTGCACGTTCTGTCCGGCTTACTTAAACGCTCAAGCCTTCGCGAGATAGCCTTGCATGATTTATCGCGACAATTTCCTCGCGATGCCGTAAGTGGAGAGGACCGACCCGGCAGATGTTGCGTTGTCGTTGTCGGATTAAGCTCGATACCGTGGCTTTTCCCGAACAGATGTTACCTACCTTCGGCCTATTCTCCGCGGTTACGGGCGATAAAGCTGATTCTGCTTCTTGTGAGAATTTTCTCGCGGAGAATGGCGGGTGCAGGGTGTAACAGAGGGGTTGGTTATTGGAGTATCGCGAGAAGCTGCGAGTTTTGGTATTAGAAGGGAGGATTTCCTGGAAGGGGATGTAATTGTTTAAGTAAGGAGGGAATTTAGGGTGAGATTGCTTTAGGGTAACTATTCCTCGAGGAGGAAGAGAATTAGGCGTGGAAGTGTGTGTCGTTGAGGGGCAAAATTGAAGCGACGAAAGTGTTCTTCTGGAAGATAATTTAATTTCTATTTTGTGGAAATTAATTTAGTGGTTGGAAGGTTTTGTTAGTGACTCAGTTAGACTCAATTAGGTAGGATACAGTAAAATTGTTGCACGTTTGTTGGAGTAAAATAAGTATAAATTAGTACACGATAATTTTTTAAATAAGGAAGGATTTTAACACATTAAGGACCGCTCACGAGTTTTCTCGTGTTTCGCGCCCCATCTGTCACGGACCGCTCACGAGTTTTCTCGTGCTGCGCGCTCCGTCTGTTACGGACGGATCACGAGACAAACCCGTGTTTTCTACACGTTGTCTTTAGATGTCAATTACTTTGATACATTGTATCTACTTTGTCCATTTAAGTGTTTACATCAATAGTCAATGTATTAACCGTTTTCGTCTCATCCACACCGAAGAGATCAATCCCATTGGTGGAAACCGTACAGGTCAAGCTATGAAAGACTGTATAAATGCACGAACCCGAAATAAAAACAGCTTAGTCTCAGAGAAAATTCGACACGTTGCATTGCATTTTGGTGATTCGAATAGTCTTCGTCTTCGAAGCGAATCAAGATATATATGTAAATTTTGTATGGTTCCTCTTCATAGAGAAAAATCTTTCACGCAATATCATACTTTAAAAAAGTACTAGAAACTTTGGTAAAATTGATTTTTAAATAAAATTTTATGATAATTATTAAAAACCAATTTTTTTTAATAATTGCCTAAAATACATCCTATTTTACAATTTCTAAAAATTTCGTAAAAATTTATTTTTTAAGTAAAAAAGTTATGATAATTATTAAAGAACGTAAGTTTTTTTCAATAATACCTAAGATGCATCCTATTTTACAATTTCTGAAAGTTTCGCAAAAATTGCTTCGTAAATAAAAAAGTAATGAGGATTTTAGTAACGTGCAAGCTTGCCCAAAAACGTGCGGTCCTAGGCGTATGTCTTATAGATTTCTTAGCGGTCCTTAATGTGTTAAGAGAGTAAGATATAATTTCGGTACGTTAACTAGATCGTGGGATCGCCAGCAACCCTATGGGCCGAAATTTTAATGAAACCGTGCAAAAAAAAATGTTTTTTTTCTGTTATTTCATAAACTATGGTATAAGTTATGAGGATAAGGAGAAGTCCAATATTCAAATGTTTATTTTCACGTCTGTAGATAAGATTAAAATATTGTGGGATTACCGGCAACCCCAGGGTGCCGTTCCAGAGTTAAGTACGTATATTCTACGCTACTAATAATACAGTTTTGTTCCGTAACAAGCAACTAGCTCGGGACCAGCCCGTTGCTTATTACGGATCGGGTATGCTATTCGGCTTGACTTTGTTCTCAAACGGGACGAGAGAACATGGAGAGAGTGCGAGAGGCTCGAGATATGTATAACACGCCAGGATCGTTAATACTAGAGTGAAAAAGCATTATACATATTCTATTTTTCTGTTAGTAAACGACGTCATTGTTCATTCGACCGTAAAGATTTATAGCTTCTCGCTTTCACGGTCCTTTCACTCGTCCTCGGATCTCTTTCGGCGGCCGATTCCAAACAAAGAATAGGGGATAGCGTGTTGCTTGTTACGGATCAACACTGTAATTCCTTTGTTGCACAGATCTCAGGAAACACTATAGAGTACTGTTAGAAATACCCTGAGCTGGAGTAGGGTGGGCGTCAAATTATTGAAACGTTTTTATGCTATCGAGATGGTATATTTTTCGCAAAGACTATGTCCGCGTTGACGTAGCGTCGTTCGCCAAAAAGTGCGCGTTCAAAGGTCTCGTGGAGAGTAAAGACGCGTCGTCCTGCCGATCCTTGTCCGCTTCCCGCGCGAAGCAGGCCTGAGGAAAACCCAAAGTGGCGGTCGCCCCCACAGTGTATGCTGGGCCTGGCCTCAAGTGGCTCGCTTTATTGTCTTCAGGACGGATTTTCTCACAATACATACGTAAGTTATTATAAATTATAGCAAAAATATACTTATACACGTGATATGTATTCCTTTCAAGAGCAGCATCCCGTTTAGGCCCGATACACACTAGCGGCCCACTCCTGGTCCGGTCAAACATTCTTCTATGGTTTAGAACGTACCCCTTCACACTACGGGTAACGCTCCGTTCACGATCCGGTGTCGTCCCAGCAACTATCTTTGAAAAGAATATTTTACCACTGATTATTCCATTCCAAT